GACACCCGGGGGGAGGGGGGTTGGGGGAATTTAGGGGGTCCCAGCCCGGAAAGGGTCGGGGTAGGGTGGGGCTTTGGGAGGTCCCAGCCCGGGAGGGGCTTTTGGGGTCATTTCGGGGGGTCGTGACACCGGGGTCCCCCAGACGTGCTCGGACCCCCGCACGCGGCCGCCCTTCCTCGGGGACAAGGCCATGGAGGCCTCGGCCAAGTTCATCCTGAAGAAATTCCCGCACCTGGACGTGCGGAGCAGCACCGTGCCCCATGTCCCCGTGTCCCTGTGTCCCCGTGTCCCTGTGTCCCCATGTCCCCGTGTCCCCGTGTCCTCACTGTCCCTGTGTCCCCGTGTCCCCATGTCCCCGTGTCCCCACCCCCTGGAGGATGTGCCACCCCACCCTGCGTGTCCCCTCTGTCACCCCTCCCTGAGTGTCCCCCTCTTGTCATCCCCACCCTGCACCTGTCCCCACTGTCCCTGTGTCCCCACTGTCCCCATGTCCCCGTGTCCCCACCCCTTGAAGGATGTGCCACCCCACCCTGCGTGTCCCCTCTGTCACCTCACCCTGGATGTCCCCTTTTCTCACCCCTCCCTGCTGTCCCCATGTCACCCCCGCCGCTGTCCCCGTGTCCCCCGCAGCAGCACCTGGGCCCGGTGCACAGGGACAGAGGGGACATCGTGCGGGCGCTGGCTCCGTTCTACCAAACCTTCCTGGACGTCCTGGAGTTCCGGGTGAGCCGGGAGGGGACAGGGGGGACACAGGGGACAGGAGGGTCCCTCAGAGCCAGGGACACGGCGGTGACACTTGTGTCCCCTTGTCCCCAGGACCACGTGTACGAGCTGCTCAACACCATCGACGCCAGCCAGTGCTTCTTCGACATCGTGAGTGCCACCCCGCGCGCCACCCGCGCTGTCCCCGCTGTCCCCGCGCCCTCACGCTGTCCCCTCCCCCCAGCACATCAACTACGACTTCACCAAGGCCTACCTGGACCTGGTTGTCACCTACGTGTCCCTGGTGCTGCTGCTGGCGCGCGCCGAGGAGCGGCGCCTGCTGCTGGGGCTCTACCACTGCGCGCACGAGATGAGCCACGGCGCCAGGTGCCACCCTGCTGTCCCGGGCCACCCTGCTGTCCCCGGGGCCACCCTGCTGTCCCCGGGCCACCCGTGCTGTCCCGGGCCACCTGTGCTGTCCCGGGCCACCCTGCTGTCCCCAGGGCCACCCTGCTGTCCCCGGGACCACCCTGCTGTCCCCGGGGCCGTGTCCCCATTCCCTGCTGTCCCCAGGCTGTCCCTAGTGCCACCCCTGCTGTCCCCACCGCTGTGTTTGTGGGGTTGTACCCGCGCTGGCCCTGCCCGGGGTTGTCCCCATTGTGTCCCCAAGGCTGTGGCCTCGTTGGGGTCGTCATGGGGTCATCCCTAACGTGTCCCCAGCACCAGAATTGGCCCCAGGGCTGTCCCCAGTGTGTCTCTAACGTGTCCCCAACACTGGAACCGGCCCTGGGGCTGTCCCCAATGTGTCCCCAGTGTGTCCCCAACACTGGGACCGGCCCCGGGGCTGTCCCCAGTGTGTCCCTAACGTGTCCCCAGCACCAGAATTGGTCCCGGGGCTGTCCCCAATGTGTCCCTAACGTGTCCCCAGCACCAGAATTGGCCCCAGGGCTGTCCCCAATGTGTCCCTAACGTGTCCCCAACACTGGAACCGGCCCCAGGGCTGTCCCCAATGTGTCCCCAGTGTGTCCCCAACACTGGAACCGGCCCCAGGGCTGTCCCAAACATGTCCCCAACACGTCCCCCACGCCGTGTCCCCGCAGCGAGCCCGGCTTCGCCCGCCTGGCACAGATGGTGCTGGAGTACGAGCACCCCCTGAAGAAGCTGCCCGAGGAGTTCGGGCCCCACACCAAGGTGGGTCGGGGGTCCCGGTCCCCGCAGGGCCCCCCGCGCGGCCGGGCCGGGGTCCCCAGCGTGGCGCTGTCCCCAGGCCGTGAGCGGCGCGCTGCTGTCCCTGCGGGCCCCGTTCGCGCGGCGCTGCCGGGACGCGGAGCTGTGGCGGCAGGAGCAGCTGCTGAGCCTGCTGGGGGCCGCGGGGGACCTGCTGAGCCCGGCCACCAGCGACAGCGTGAGTGACACCCGCGGGGACGTGGGGACATGGGGACATGGGGACCTGCTGAGCCCGGCCACCAGTGACAGCGTGAGTGACACCTGGGGGGACATGGGGACATGGGGACATGGCTGTGGGGACCCCCCGCAGGGCTGAGCCCGGCCACGAGTGACAGCGTGAGTGACACCCGGGGGGACGTGGGGACATGGGGACATGGCTGTGGGGACATGGGGACAGGGACCTGCTGAGCCTGGCCACCAGTGACTGCGTGAGTGACACCCGGGGGGACATGGGGACAGGGACATGGGGACATGGGGACCTGCTGAGCCCGGCCACGAGTGACAGCGTGAGTGACACGGGGACAGGGGTGTGGTGACACGGGGCCACACTGGGGGCTCGGGGACAGTGACGCGGTGGCACTGCTGTCCCCAGATGGCCTGTGAGTACCTGTCCCTGGAGGTGATGGAGCGCTGGATCATCCGTGAGTGCTGGCACTGCCCGCGTGTCCCCAGCCCTCCTGGGCGTGTCCCCAAACCCTGGTGCCCATTTTGGGGTCCCTGATATCCCTGACACGGGGCTGTCCCCGTTTTGGGGTCCCTGATGTGGGCTGTGCCCATTTTGGGGTCCCTGATATCCCTGACACGGGGCTGTCCCCGTTTTGGGGTCCCTGACACGGGGCTGTTCCCGTTTGGGGTCCCTGACACGGGGCTGTTCCCGTTTGGGGTCCCTGACACGGGGCTGTTCCCGTTTGGGGTCCCTGACACGGGGCTGTTCCCGTTTGGGGTCCCTGACACGGGGCTGTTCCCGTTTGGGGTCCCTGACACGGGGCTGTTCCCGTTTGGGGTCCCTGACACGGGGCTGTCCCCGTTTTGGGGTCCCTGACACGGGGCTGTCCACATTTGGGGTCCCTGATGTGGGGCTGTGCCCCTTTTGGGGTCCCTGATGTGGGATGTGCCCCTTTTGGGGTCCCTGATGTGGGCTGTCCCCGTTTTGGGGTCCCTGACACGGGGCTGTCCCCGTTTGGGGTCCCTGACTCTGGGCTGTCCCCGTTTTGGGGTCCCTGATGTGGGCTGTCCCCGTTTTGGGGTCCCTGACCCGGGGCTGTCCCCGTTTGGGGTCCCTGATGTGGGCTGTCCCCGTTTTGGGGTCCCTGACACGGGGCTGTCTCCGTTTGGGGTCCCTAATGTGGGATGTGCCCATTTTGGGGTCCCTGACCCGGGGCTGTCCCCGTTTGGGGTCCCTGATGCCCTGTCCCGTTTTGGGGTCCCTGACACGGGGCTGTCTCCGTTTGGGGTCCCTAATGTGGGATGTGCCCATTTTGGGGTCCCTGACCCGGGGCTGTCCCCGTTTGGGGTCCCTGATGCCCTGTCCCCCCCAGTGGGGTTCCTGGTGTGCCCGGGCGCCCTGGGCACCCCCCCGTGCCAGGAGCTGTGGCGCCAGGCCCTGCGCGGGTCCCTCTTTGTCACCCTGGTGCGCGACGAGGCCATCGCGGTGCACAAGGTCACCGAGGAGCTGCTGGGGGGGCTCAAGGGGTGAGCCGGGGACACCGCGGTGGCACTGCCCGGGGTGGCACTGCTGGGGGGGTCAGGACGGGGACACCGCGGTGGCACTGCCCGGGGTGGCACTGCCCGGGGTGGCACTGCCCGGGGGGGTCAGGATGGGGACACCGCGGTGGCACTGCCCGGGTGGCACTGCCCGGGGTGGCACTGCCTGGGGAGGGGAGAGGATTGGGGGGACATCGGAGGTGGCACTGCCCAGGGGTGGGGGTCAGGATGGGGACACAGCGAGTGGCACTGCCTGGGGGGGACGGGGACACCGAGGGTGGCACTGCCCGCAGTGGGGGTGGCACGGCCGGTGCCAGGGACTGGGGGCTTCACTGGGGACTTTGAGGGTGCCAGGGGGGGCTGTCCAGGGGATTTTGGGGTTGCTCGGGGGGTTCTCCTGGATGCCAGGGGGGTAGCAGGGGCTGGGGTGGTGCCCGGGGGTCTCCGGGGGTGCCCGGGGGTGGCACAGGGCAGTGCCAGGGGGTCTCCGGGGGTGCCCGGGGGTGGCACAGGGCGGTGCCCGGGGGTCTCTGGGGGTCTCCGGGGGTGCCCAGGGGTAGCACAGGGCAGTGCCAGGTGCCCCTCGCCAGGTTCGGGAAGCGCGTGGCCGATGTCAAGGAGTGCCGGGAGCACCATTTTGGGGGAATTTTGGGTGGTTTTGGGCGGGACTGGGGAGGTTTTGGGGGGATTTTTGGCGATTTGGGGAGATTTAGGAGGGATTTTGGGAGAGGTCTGAGAGATTTGGGGGGGATTCTTGGCGATTTTGGGGGGCATTGGAGACATTTAGGGGGGATTTTGAGGGGCATTGGCGAGATTTTGGGGGCGCCTGGGAGATTTTCGGGGGATTGGAGAGATTTAGAGGGGATTCGGGGAGGTTTTTGGGGGGAATTTCGGGAGATTTAGGAGGGGACAGGAGGGGACAGAGAGGGACACTTGCGAGGACCCCCCGGATTTCGGGGGGGTTCAGCAGTTTTTGGGAGTGATTCGGGGGGCACTGGGGGGCTCAGGAGTTTCGGGGTGACTCGGGGGGCACTGGGGGGACTCAGGAGTTCCGGGGTGACTCCGGGGGTCCCCGCTGCATGCCGGGGGGGTTCGGGGGGTCTCTGACGCCCCCCGCGCAGCCGCCTGGCGGAGCTGCTGTTCCTGCTGGAGCAGCTGCGGGCTCTGGTGCGGCGGCACCTGCGGCTCCTGCGCCGCTACCACCGGCACTACCTGGCCCGCTTCGACGCCCTCGTGCTCAGCGACGTCATCCAGGTACCTCCGGGGGGGTGGCCCTGTCCCCTGAGCCCCCTGCGGGGCCCCGGCTGTCCCCTGAGCCCGCCCTGTGCCCGCAGAACCTCTCGGTGTGTCCCGAGGAGGAGTCCGTGATCCTCTCGTCCTTCGTCAGCTCCCTCTCGGCTCTCTCGGCCAAGGAAGGTGCGGGTTTGTCCCCTCCCGGCCCGGAGTGTCCCCTCCCGGCCCGGAGTGTCCCCTCCCAGCTCGGGTTGTCCCCTCTCAGCCCACATCTCCCCTCACCGTGTCACCGGTGCCACCCCAGCCCCGTGTCCCCGCTGTCCCGGGAACTCTGGGACAATCCCGGGCACCCCGAAGGGTGGCGGCTCCAGGGGGTCCCCTGTGGTGGCACTGCCACCCCCAGCGCTGTCCTCGTGTCCCTCTGTCCCCGCAGTTGATGACCAGGAGCAGTTTGACTTCACCGCGCTGCGCCTGGACTGGTTCCGGCTCCAGGTGGTGGCACTGTCCCTGTCCCTGTCCCCATGTCCCCCTGTCCCTGTCCCCGTGTCCCCTGTCCCCCTGGCTGTCCCCTGACCCTGTCCCCGTGTCCCCTGTCCCCCCGGCTGTCCCCCGGCTGTCCCCAGGCCTACACCAGCGTGGCCAAGGCCGCGCTGCCGCTGGCGTCCAACGGGGACGTGGGCCGTGCCATGAGCCTGGTGGTGTTCCACACGCGCCTGCTGGACCGGCCCGAGGAGCTGCTGGACGAGACCTCGGACCTGTCCCACCTCTGGTGAGCCCGGCCCTGCCCCTGCACCCCCTTCCCATCCCTGCCCCCCCTTCCCATCCCTGCACCCCCTTCCCATCCCTGAACCCCTTTCCCATCTCTGAACCCCCATTTCCCATCCCTGAACCCCCTTTCCATCCCTGAACCCCATTTCCCATCTCTGAACCCCATTTCCCATCCCTGAACCCCATTTCCCACCCCTGTAACCCCTTTTCCCACCCCATATCCCTTTTTTCTGCCCTGTCCCCCTCACCCAATCCCTGCCCCTTTCCCGCTCACCCTGCTGTCCTGTCCCTGTCCCTGTCCCTGTCCCTGTCCCTGTCCCCTCCTGTCCCCGCGCAGTTTCCACCCGCGGCCCCTGGAGCGGATGTTCGCGGTGACGCTGGACGAGCCGTCCATGCTGCGCTTCGCCATCGCCTTCCCCCTGCTCTGCGCCCACTTCTCGCGCTGCCCGCACCCCATGTGCCCCGAGGAGGTGGGTGACACCCGGGGGGGGTCCGGGGGGTCCCCCAGCCCCCTCCCCGGCTCTGAGGGGTGCCGTGTCCCCCCAGTACCCCCAGCTGGAGGCGGCGGCGCTGGGGCTGTGCCACAAGTTCCTGGAGGAGCTGGCGCGGGTGGGCAGCGCCTGCGTCCTGGACGCCTGCGCCGAGCAGCACAACCTCAGCCAGCAGGTCTGGGGGGCCCTGGGACCTTTGGGGGCTCTGGGACCTTTGGGGGCTCAGGGACCTTTGGGGGAATCCAGGGGGTCTGGGACTTTTGGAGGGATTGGTGACCCTCGGGGTCTTGGTGGCCTTTGGGGTCTTGGCAGCCTTTGGGGCCTCCAGGACCTTTGGGGCCTCCAGGACTTTTGGGGCCTCCAGGACTTCTGGGGTCTCCAGGACCTTTGGGGCCTCCAGGACCTTTGGGGCCTCCAGAACTTTTGGGGGCTCCAGGACTTTTGGGGGCTCCAGGACCTTTGGGGCCTCCAGGACTTTTGGGGTTCAGTGGCCTTTGGGGTCTTGGCAGCCTTTGGGGCCTCCAGGACTTTTGGGGTCTCCAGGACCTTTGGGGGCTCCAGGACTTTTGGGGTTCAGTGGCCTTTGGGGTCTTCACACCTTCAGGATCCTTCTGTGTTTTGGGGTCTCCACCACTTCGAGGTCTCCGTCAGCTTGAGGATTTCTGTGGCCTTTGGGGTCTCCAGAACCTCTGGGGTCTCTGTGGTCATCGGGGTCTCCGTGGACTCTCTGTCCCCTTGTCCCCCTGTCCCCACCAAACCCTCGGGATGGGGAAGTTCCTCCACGGGGGCCAGACCTGGCAGGGCATCCCCCACCCAGCCCTGGGGGATGGTGGCCTGTGGTCATGGTGGCCCCGTTTGGGGTATCCCCATGTCCCCACGACCCTGTCCCCATGTCCCCACGACCCTGTCCCCGCCCTGCAGCTGCTGCCCAAGCACTGTGCGGCCACCATCAGCAGAGCCCGCGTCAAGAAAACCCCGAAGCAGCCGCCCCGCAAGGGGGACCCCCAAAGGGACAAACCGGGGGCAGAGAGCCAGCGGCGGGACCGGACCCTGACCACCAAGTGCGTGACACCCCGGGGAGGGACTGTCCCCACGGGGTCATGGTTCTGGGGACTTTGGTGGTCTCCAGAACCTCTGGGGGCTCAGTGGCTTTTGGGGACTCAGTGGCCTTTGGGATCTTGGTGGCCTTTGGGGTCTCCAGAACCTCTGGGGTCTTGGTGGCCTTTGGGGGCTTCAGGACCTTTGGGGGCTTGGTGGCCTTTGGGGTCTCCAGAACCTCTGGGGTCTTGGTGGCCTTTGGGGGCTCCAGGAGCTCACCTGAAGCTACCAGAGCTTGGGCGTGGCATGGCGACAAGGTGTGGTTGTCCCCATGGGACACGGATTGTCCCCACGGGGTCACACCGTGACTGTCCCCCAGCATGGACAAGCTGCACCTGACCCTGGCCGAGCTGTCCCTGAGCCTCAACCACGTCCCCAACTTCACCGTCTTTGGGCACACGGTGACACCGGCCGAGTACCTGAGCAGCCACCTGGAGACGCGCCTGACCAGGTGGGGACACGCGGGGGACACGCCGGGGACACATGGGGGACACGGGGGGCAGAGGGGACACGTCCCTCACCGCCCCCGTGTCCCCGCAGGGCCATCGTGGCCATGGCTGGCTACAGCCAGGCCACGCAGGAGGTGGCCCGGCCCTCGGAGGTGCTGGCCGGGCTGGTGGCCTACATGGGGCTGGTGCAGCGGCTGGGCCAGCTGGTGGCCCTGGACACGGGGCGGCTGCTGCGCGCCGTCCTGCTGCAGCAGAGCCACCCCCGCGACGCCAGCGGGCAGCCCACGCTGACCGCCATCTACACCGACTGGTCAGTGCCACCGCGGCGGGGACACGGGGAGTCAGTGCCACCGGGGGGGGACACGGGGAGTCAGTGCCACCACGGCAGGGACACGGGGAGTCAGTGCCACCACGGCGGGGACACGGGGAGTCAGTGCCACCACGGCGGGGACACGGGGAGTCAGTGCCACCGCGGCGGGGACACGGGGACGGGGTGGCAGGGTCACTGTGGGGGGACACGGGGACCGGGGTCAGTGCCACCAGGGGTGGGGGACACGGGAACGGGGTGTCAGGGTCACCCATAAGGAGTGGGGACACAGGGACGGGTGGCAGGGTCACTGTGGGGGGGGACATGGGAATGGGGTGGTCAGGGTCACCGCGGGGACGGGGAACACAGGGATGGGGTGGTGGCATCAGGGACATGGGGACGGGGTGGTGGCAGCAGGGACATGGGGACGGGGTGGTGGCAGCAGCTCGTGGGTGACACTGCTGTGGGTGCCACTGCCATGGGTGACAGTGCCCAGGATGACAGCAGCACAGGTGACACTGCCAGGTGCCAGTGCCCAGGGTGCCAGTGCCCAGGGTGACAGTGCCAGGGTGCCAGTGCCAGGGTGCCAGTGCCCAGGGTGCCAGTGCTATAGGTGCCAGTGCCCAGGGTGCCAGTGCCAGGGTGACAGTGCCAGGGTGACAGTGCTATAGGTGGCAGTGCCCAGGGTGGCAGTGCCCAGGGTGCCACTGCCAGGGTGCCAGTGCCAGGGTGCCAGTGCCCAGGGTGCCAGTGCTATAGGTGCCAGTGCCCAGGGTGCCAGTGCCAGGTGCCAGTGCAGTGCCCAGGGTGGCAGTGCCCAGGGTGCCACTGCCAGGGTGCCAGTGCCAGGGTGCCAGTGCCAGGTGCCAGTGTCGTGTCCCCCAGGTACCTGGAGGCGCTGCTGCGCCAGGCCAGCACGGGCGCCGTGCTGCTGTCCCCCGCCCTGCAGGCCTTCACCACGGTGCCCCGCGAGGAGCAGCCCCCCTTCAGCGCCGCCGAGTTCTCCGACATCTCAGGTGGGCTGGGGGGCTCGGGGGGGGCTGGCTGCCACCCCCTGGCCCCCAGGGTCCCCACCTGTCCCCTCCCGCAGAGATGCGGGCGCTGGCCGAGCTCATCGGGCCCTACGGGATGAGGTTCCTGAGCGAGAACCTGATGTGGCACGTGGGCTCCCAGGTGACCGAGCTGAAGGTACGGTGGGGACAGGAACAGGGATGAGGACAGGGACGGGGAATGGGGATGGGACAGGGAACGGAGACAAGGATGGGGAGTGGGGATGGGGACAGGGAATGGGGAACGAGGAATGGCGACAGGGAATTCGGACAGGGACTGGGGATGGAGACTGGGATGGGGATGGGGATGGGGACAGGGAATAGGGATGGGACAGGGACAGGGAATGAATGGGAATGGGAATGGGGACAAGGAATGAGGATGGGGACAGAATGGGCATGGGAATGGGAATGGGAATGGGAATGGGGGATGGGAATGGGGACAGGGACAGGGACAGGGAATGGGACAGGGAATGGGATGGGACAGGGATAGGGAATGGGACAGGGATAGGGATGTGGATGGAGACAGAAGGATGGGAACAGGGACAGGGACAGAGATGAGGACCGGGACGAAGACAAGGATGGGGATGGGAATGGGGATAAGGATGAGGGTGGGAACAGGGAGATTGGTGGAGGGGGACAGGAACGGGGACAGGGACAGGAACCGGGACAGGGATGGGGATGGGGATGGGGACAGGGACAGGGACAGGGGATGAGGACACGGGATGGGGATGGGGATGGGGATGGGGACAGGGACAGGGGATGGGGACAGGGGACAGGGACAGGGGCTGGGGACAGGCTGGTGCTGCTGGCACCATGCCAGGGCAGGCAGGGCCACCCCGGTGCCACCCCAACCCTGTCCCTGCCCGTCCCTGCGCAGTGGGAGGGTTGGAGGTGCCAGGTCCCCCAGCATCCCCCAGCGTCCCCCATGTCCCCGTGTCCCCGTGTCCCCGTGTCCCCGTGTCCCCGCAGAAGCTGGTGGCAGAGAACATGGACACGCTGGTGCAGCTGCGCTGCTGCAAGGCTGAGCAGAGACCAGCACTGCTGCCCCGCCTGAGCTGTGAGTGCGGCCGGGGTGGCACGGGGGGTGGCACGGGGTGGCACACGTGTCACCCCGCTGTCCCTCGCTGTCCCCGCAGCGGCCGAGAACGTCCTGAAGCGCATGACCATCATCGGGGAGATCCTGAGCTTCCGCGCCATGGCCCAGCAGGGCCTCAGGGAGGTGGGACCCCCCCGGGGCACCCCCAGACCCTGGGAACCCCCTGGGACCCCCCTGGGACCCCTCCCAGGACACCCCCAGACCCTGGAACCCCCCAGGACCCCCTGGGAACCCCCTGGGCCCCGCCCCGGGGCAGCCCTGGGACACCCCCAGACCCTGGGACCCCCCCGGGGCACCCCAGCCTCTTCATTTGGGGACCCAGTCCCCCCGTTTGGGGCCCGGGACCCCCTGACCCCCATTTAGGGACATGGGACCCCCGTTTGGGGCCCGGGACCCCCTGACCCCCCACCCCCCCAGGTGTTCTCCCAGCACTGCCCCTTCCTGATGGGCCCCATCGAGAGCCTGGCGGACGTGGTGACCCCCGACACCGACATCCAGGTGGGGACAGGGACACGCCAGGAGTGGCACCGCGTGGCACCGCGTGGCACCGCGTGACACCGCGTGTCCCCCGTGTCCCCAGGTCACCCTGAGCATCTTCGAGCTGGCCTCGGCCGCGGGGGTCCCGTGCGAGGTGGACCCAGCGCTGGTCACTGCCCTGGCCGGCCCCAGGACAGGTGCGGGGGGCTCTGGGGGCACCGCGGTGGCGCTGGCACCGGGCCGCGCTGTCACCGCGCTGTCCCCTGCCTGCAGAGGGCTCGTCCCCCGAGGAGGATTACAAGGTGTCCTGCCTGCTCCTGGTGTTCGTGGCCGTGTCGCTGCCCCTGCTGGCCGCTGACCCCGCGTCCCTCTACAACCCCGAGCTGGACGGTGAGGGTGGCCCCGTGTCCGTGTGTCCTCTGTGTCCCCTGTCCCATGTCCCCTGTGTCCCCTGTGTCCCCTGTGTCCCTGTGTCCCCTGTCCCGTGTCCCCCATGTCCCCTGTGTCCCCCATGTCCCCTGTGTCCCCCGTGTCCCGTGTCCCGTGTCCCCTGTGTCCCCGTATCCCCTGTGTCCCCATGTGTGTCCCTGTGTGTGTCCCCTGTCCCTTTGTCCTTGTGTCCCCATGTCCCTGTGTGTGTCCCTGCATGTGTCCCCATGTCCCTGTGTCCCCATGTCCCTGTGTCCCTGTCCCCCTGTCCCCATGCTGGCGGTTCTCACTGTCCCATTGTCACAGCAGAGGGTTTGGGGGACACTGGGACTGTCACCAAGGGAGGTGGCACTGTGGGGACTCTGGGTTGTCCCCAACCTGCTCGTGTTCCCACACGTATTGACTCCCAACCCGTGTCCCGGTGTCCCCGTGTCCGCGGTGTCCCCGTGTCCCCAGGCCACAACAACAACCTGCACTGCCTGGCCAAGGCCATCGTGCAGCTCTCGGCCGCGCTCTTCACCGTGCACGGCAAGAACATCGAGACGCACCTCAAGGAGTTCCTGCTGGTGAGCCCGGCCTGTCCCGGGGTGCCACTGTCCCTGTCCCCTCCTGGGGCTGGCCCCGGGGGTGGCACTGTCCCCTCCCTGGGGCTGGCACTGTCCCCTGGGGTGGCACTGTCCCTGGGGTGGCACTGTCCCTGTCCCCTCCTGGGGTGGCACTGTCCCCTGGGGTGGCACTGTCCCTGTGGGCTCCCTGACACTGTCCCCGGTGTCACTGACTGTAACTGTCCCTATCTCTGTCCCCTCTGTCCCCTCTGTCCCCGTTGCTGTCCCTCTGTCCCTCTGTCCCCGTTGCTGTCCCTCCGTCCCTCTGTCCCTGTCTCTGTCCCCTGTCCCTCTGTCCCCGTCGCTGTCCGCTGTCCGTCTGTCCCCGTCGCTGTCCGCTGCACTGTCCCTGTGGGCTCCCTGACACTGTCCCCGGTGTCACTGACTGTAACTGTCCCTATCCCTGTCCCTCTGTCCCCGTTGCTGTCCCTCTGTCCCTCTGTCCCTGTCCCCTCTGTCCCCTCTGTCCCCGTTGCTGTCCCTCTGTCCCTCTGTCCCCGTTGCTGTCCCTCCGTCCCTCTGTCCCTGTCTCTGTCCCCTGTCCCTCTGTCCCCGTCGCTGTCCGCTGTCCGTCTGTCCCCGTCGCTGTCCGCTGTCCGTCTGTCCCCTCTCCCTCTGTCCCTCTGTCCCTGTCTCTGTCCGCTGTCCGTCTGTCCCAGCTGGCCTCCAGCAGTCTCCTGCAGCTGGCCCAGGAGCCGGACAAGGCGCGGGCGCGGAACCAGGACTCGATCGTGCTGCTGCTGCACCTGGTGGGGACCTGGGGACACCTGGGGGGCAGCTGGGGGGCTCTGGGGTGGCCCTGGGCAGTTCCCGATGTCCCCTGGGTGGGCTCGGGGGTCCCCTTGGGTGGGCTCTGGGGTCGGGGTGTCCCCTGGGTCCATCCCCGATGTCCCCTCTGCCATCCCCAATGTCCCCATATCCATCCCCGATGTCCCCTCTGCCATCCCCGATGTCCCCCGGTGGCTCAGGGCTGTCCCCGAATGTTCCCCAGCCCCCCCCAATACCCCCCAATACTGGGGGGGTCTCATCCCCCCCAGACCCCCCTGGAAGCGGCCGGGGGGGGGGGCACACTCCCCCCCCCCCCCCCCGCGCTCCTTTCCCACGGGGGCGCGG